GCCAATCTTGGTTTTAAGTGGGGTTGGAGGCCCATAATAAATTAGTTCATTTGCAAAAGCAGAGGCATTCTTCCTTACTTTGTTTTTGGCTAAAGCTTAAGGCAGGGTAGTGTAAACCTAGACTAGCCTGTGACAACTAATATTTTCAACCTGCTAATCACAGTTTTAGGATTTCCTTTTTTTAAATTGGCACAAATATCATTACACTTTTCTTTTAACCTTATTTCCGTTCTTCCTGAACGGATTTGAGGAACACGATCAGGTACTCGAATATTAATAATACTTATCACCCTTTGCTAATTGGATTAAACTAGCATGGGAAACACGATCGGTAAAGATAAGGGGGAAGAAACTGTGGACGGAGGGCAATTAGTCCCGAATGGTGTATACAAAGTACCTCAAGATTGGGACTATAGGAGTGTCCGCAAATTCATTATAGAACGCAAGCTGGCCCCTTTTTATAAAGGGTTGTCAGACTATGACGAAAGTTGGGACGAGGTTACATTAACAACTCATAATCTTCCAAAAGCTGGTGAGGGTAAGAAAAATGCCACATTTAGTGGTGAATGTCAATCACAAGGAAGTAGAGAAATAAAACGAGCATCATTAAACGCAACAGGAACAACTAAAGGCAAAGAAACATCCCCAGTAAAACCGTTAGAATCTCAATTATATAAAGGTGCTGTTGAATGTCCAATCTGCTTTTTGGTGAGTGATTATTAGAAATATTTTTCTAATTAAGCAAAGATAGTCAACGAAATTAAAGATCGGTCCATTACAAAATTATTGAAATGCATTTATGCGGTTCATTGGAAAGCACAATTGATTAGGATCTCGCGTGAATTACGAAAGATATTTTTGTCAATTAAACTACGGAATTAAAACGAAATGGGGGCAGATTTTATTCTTACATTTCAAAGTCTGTTCCTATGATATTTCTAAATTTGCTCAATTTTTTTTTTACATTTGCTTAAAATAATATTAATTGATATAGTATTATCCACGAAATATCAATTATTCTCGATGCTGTGATCAGCCGATTTGTACCGAATGTTTCGTTCAAATAAAACGACCAGAATCTGGTACTTTAGGAGCCAACAATTCTTCTGCTGTATGTCCTTATTGTGTAGAACCAAATTTTGGTGTCTACTACAAGCCTCCACCTTTTAGTGCTGGGATTGGCAGTGAAAACATGGTAAATATGGACCACTTTTTTTCCCATTAATCGATGCAGAAGTTTCCTATTATAGATTTAATAAATGTTAATACATTTTTCAGCCTGTTGCGATTCCAAATCCAAA